CGAAAAATAAGTAAACTTTGTCTTAACCTTGGATTATAAAATGTCCCCAAGCCTGCGAAAACTTTTCTCCCCGTTGAATATGTACATTGTGACGGTTAGCTTGTATGATTTGTTAACTGAAATGTGAGCTCCAGTGCTTGCAAAAGTTATACACAATACAACACAATACCTATATAGTTACAAACATTGCCTACCTAATCCATATGGCAATTTTATGTACTAATTAGTGTATCACATAAGCTATGATTGAACCAGACAAAAAATTACTTCGATTCGAATGATGATATAATTCGTGCCTACAATATTACAATATACATATACATGACACCACAATATGAACGTAATAGACATCCGAAGACCAATATTTGAAGGGAAGTTAACCCAAGAAGATCTCCTATCATATGTTCCACAGTGAGGTCGTATTAAGAGGTTGTTCTGAAAAAATGTCACTAGTCGGCTTCGCGTTTTTACATTTAACTAATTCGTTCTTAGATGATCCAGATCTACGTGATGAACAAGAAGTCATTAATGATAGCTGGGCACACCTGATGTAACACACATCCAGGGGTTCAGACTGAAATTAGAGTGTCGTAAAGTTCACAGGTCTAAAAACTTGGCATCAACATAGACTGTGTGAAAATTGCAGGTCTTCCGGTAAGAATACTTAAATAAATCATTTTCCACCATCACTTATTTCATATATATATATATATATATAACAAGCTTACAGTTAGAAAGTGCGGCCAGTAGATGGGGAAAATGACAATAGTGGCGGGGATAGAACACAAACGGTAACTCGAAGGCTGAAAAGGTCTACACAGCTTGGTAATCACTGTGAAACTAATGCAACTGCATGAATATCAGAACTCCACGACAGTTTTAATAGACTCAAAAAAGCCATTTATTGGTCATAGATTAAGCCACGGTAAACCTGCTTAATAACAGTGGAGCACCTTATGAGAATATAAATATCCTTGTTTTTCTTAACCATCCCAAACTGCTCCATATCACGTAGTTATAGTCATCACATAACGGTATCCCAGAGTTTGTGTGCTCAAAGCCGTCTTCCGTCGTTCATACCACCATATCATTTGCGTAAATCCTCGGGCTACCTTCGGTTCGATGCTCTGAGAGCAACAAACCACTCATTCATGACATTTCCATCAATGCAAATTATTTAGTTGCTGCTTTCGCAGTTTTCTTTTTCACTGTTCTGTACCAACAAGCCAAGGTGCGTACAGACTAGTTCGAATTCTTCCGAACACCTATACTACCATTTTATATGCTATTTTGTCTATATATTTCATATGATTTTGATTGAAAATGGAATCACTATCGGCTATCGGTGGCTTTTAGCCATGTGCTGCTCGCATATTCATTGGAATTCCTCCCCACGGTCAGTATATGATAAATTCTGAAAACGTTACCGAATTTGTTCCCATTTACTTTCAGTGATAGTCACCACTTGGCGTGTAACTGCGTTTTTTGTACATCTGGTACCGTTTCCTCCGTAGATCACGTGATGCTGCCCCAATGTGATGAGTAAAGATAGACATTCTAACAAAATCAGTCACCGGGGCTCCTAATTAGGATGAGGGTACTTAAATCTTATTTTTATGCCTTGGGGCATTTTTCTACACCACATAATTGAATCAGACATGTTGAGGTAGCTCACCTCACTGTTCCGTTTCCAGACTATGCATATCTCTTTTCGAGGGCACTTAGAGTTTGCAAAGCGAAGCACAATTTACATCTGAGGATAGCCATCAAATCCAAAACAAAACTTCATCCATGAAATTGACTGAATCGTTACCCATTTTTCATCACAACCTGTCGAACCCTTCATTTTATTCTTGCGAACCTGAGATAAATTTTGCGCGATTGCAAACGAACAAGTATTTTGATACACTTTATTTCCGTTATACATGCACCGACTAAGAGTCTACAGATGGTTGTAAGATAAAACATTTGATCGTTCCTTTTTCTATATTATCTTTCACACACTTCAGTAGTACTATCAGACACTTTCAAACACCAAGATGGGTGCCTTGTTGGGTGGCAAATTAATGGAACAACAAAATAATTCATGACATTTGTGCCTAGCTTAGCACATAAATTGATGAAGAAGACTAAGGAATTTTATCCACTCTATTGGACTCACGGCTGGTTATAAAGACAGGTTCGCTATCGTGGGCAGCTCGGATAGGAAAAATAAGAATTCCTCTTCACAACCCCAAGCTGTGCTCGAAAACCAATTGTGCACACCCCTCAGCTCCTCTGTCCCATATACACGTCCATTCCGATGAATTTCGATGGCAAAATAAACGAACAACTTCATGATCTTTCCTCATTTTGTACGTGTATATATATATATATATATATATATATATATCAGGACAGCACTTCAAGATTATGATGTGATGATGACGGGGATAACAATTCCAAACACCACAAAAAATCTCCAAGCCTAATCCTAACATTCCAAACCAATAGTTAAACATTTGCTACAGCCAATACCGTAACTGACACCTACACATGGAACCAGTGCTTCCCTCTGTTGCTGCTGGGTTGTTCTTGTGCCCATAATTGAACGCGAAACAATGAGTTCTTTCAGTTTCAATTTGCCGTTTAATTTAATAACACTCGTTTGAAATCTAGTTGTTTGTGTCTGTTTACCTGTTTTCTCCGTTTTCTCTCCAAACTTGCATTCATTGGATGATTGTACATATCTATTAACTAAGCGCATCGACACACGCTTGGAAGGTCGTTTACAATCAATAGAAGATTATAAGATTAGCTTTAATAAAAGCTTTCGCATGCCTTGAACGTATTTCCGCAGTGATAATCTTACTTATTCGTATCTATTTAACGGAAGTTGATGTAGAACGGATCTTGAACTCCTTCAACTGTTTGCGCAAGAGTAGAGCATTACGAAGTTTAAGAATGTTTTAATCTTGTTCAACCTACTGTCATCTATGTACTTGACAAAACACCTCTATTGTTTTTTAATCAAATAATACAGTCAGCTACCCAAAACAAGAGAGATATTCGGGCGCCAGTGCACAGATGCTTAACACATCACTCACCCAGTCAGAACAGTCAACGGGGACCGTTTTGGTGGTGCAGGCTTCAAGGAAAAAGCTCGCTCCTCGTCTAGCGAAAACTGTCTTTCACGTTCCGGTCGACCCTCTCGACGCAATGAAGCTTCGAGCTGTTGCAAACTATGTTCCGCTTCGGCTAGTTCCTTTGGTGTGTAGCCAGGAACACAATCCGTTGGACTGACCCAGTGCGCCGAGAGTGGTTCAGGTGTAGAACTACAGGGAGCTTTTGATGTCTGACCTACGACAGTAATACCCGATCCATGACAGGGTATTGTGGCACCACGCATTTCCGATTGCGAGAGACCTTGTAAATCAAGCGAGGCGCCTAGTGTACGCTCGAGTAGCTCCGTGTCCTCGGGTGAGTGTCGAATCGTATAGTCAGGCAACGATGAGGTCAGACTGGAAGCCACAGAGCTTTCCCGGGTTTCACGAGTCATCCCTTCCGGTTGAACTCTACATTTCAAGTGATATGAAATTATTTTCACAAGCGTGAAAACCCCTTTAAGCAATACATACTTTACCACTATTACTCATAAAATGAAATTAATTTGCATTTAGAAAATCTCCCAAATAATTAAAATTATCTATTGAAAACATAATTATAACTACAGTAATTACCTGCCTAAAGCGTTTCAACCAAATCTCCGATAGATCATAGTTCCCCATATTATACTCGAAAGGATTCGAGAGTTGTAGATAAGCACCAGATGAGACACTCCGACTGCAGGTAAATATTCAACAGTAGACCAAAGACAAACCGTAGTCTCGGCAACTCCACTACTGACAAAAAGAAATCTCGTCTGCCATATTGTACACGATGTTCCACATCGGTTGATAATTACCTGCATACCTAAATTGCAGTGCACCACGGCGTAAATAGATCTAAAAATACAGACCCATAAGTCATGCATAAAACTGAAGCATTTACACTCATCCTTATAGATTATTTTTACGTTTAGATAATTAAACGAACCTTAGTCCATCCAGTTTCAAGTAAAACCAGCAGATTTACACAATTGAGTAGTTGAGTAGATTTTTTCAAAGTAATTCATACCATACTCGGGAGGTATTCATGTGGAATAAGAGAGCATTTTTGGCCGGAGTTGAGGCTACAGCAAATGGCATGTTCAATGCAGAATTACGCAAGCAAAAATAGTTGGTTCAGAGGATATTAGTACTATTATCTCAAAGCTGCTTTGATTGCGAATTAAATTATAATCCTAATACACTACCAGCTTCAGATCTATTTGATTCACCACCTCCCCAACTTTTTCTTGGTTGTCTTCTTTTTGTTTTTCATTTCCCGTGAATTTATAACGTCACCTAAATTTCAGTATAACTAATCCAACGCTAAACAAAACTTTAATCGGCACATACCACTCTCCACTGCCGCTCTAGACCGAATTACCTCCCCGTCATCCCCTCGATGATTCCGCAGTTGAGTATTCCTTACCTTCCTACAATTGCCTGCTCTGCTTAATCGCCGCTGTCATACTGATAAGCTGAGCTGCATCCAACCAATCAGATGTTTATATTAGTATCCTATGTATGTGAAAGGCTGACATAGCACGTTGAACAGTTTTTATTAAACATTTTGTTCTGTACTGCCTGTGGGCGCACTTTATGAGGTTCATAGGTGTCCACCGAATTTCAACTTAGGGGATGCTCTTAAAGTACAATTTAACCAAAAAATAAAATAATTCTCTGATTGACGTACATAGGCCTCATGTTAGACATTGTCCCATATGCTGGATGTACACCAAGCACCCGAGCTTCCTGACCACATGTATCCTCCATCAGCAGCAAATCATCGCTATCTGAACCAGAACAGCTTCGCGATTGTGCGTTTGTCTCTCGAAAAGGCGGGATTGGCGGTGGAGGTGGCGGAGGTCCTCGTGGACCGCGTCGTCTTTTCACCTTTCTTGTTGGTCTGGGAAGTGTGCTAGGCATCACCGAACGACTGAAAGTGTTAACTGAGGTAGATTGTGGTGGTGGAGGGGGCGGCAGCCGGGACGCGTGAACATTCGTCGGAGTTGTTACTGTCGTTGGTGTATTTGTGGAGGTCACCGTCTGCCCAGTTCCCACTAGTGGTGGAATGGGAGGTGGAGGCGGCGGAGGTGTAGTGGTCGGCGGCGGCACAGACGATAAATCTGTTCGAACAGCTGCCCCAGA